TGGACTTATTTGGACCTGTTACACCAATGAGTCTAAGTGGAAAGAAGTATGTCCTGGTAGTAGTTGATGGCTATTCAAGATACACGTGGACAATCTTCCTCAACAGCAAGAAGGAAACTCAGGGAAAGCTCACAAACTGCATGAAGCTGATTCAAAACCAAGCAAGTCAGACCATTCAGAAGATCAGATCTGACAAAGGCACAGAATTCCTGAATGAAATCATCATTGACTACTGTGAAGAAAACGAAATTCTTCATCAGACATCCGCAGCAAGGACACCTCAACAGAATGGTGTAGCTGAAAGAAGGAACATAACCCTGAAGGAAGCAATGAGAACCATGCTAGCAGAAGCTTCCTTACCAAAGAGGTTCTGGGCTGAAGTTGTTAACACAGCCTGCTATACTCAAAATAGGAGTATGATTTATAAAAGGCACAACAAAACTCCCTATGAACTGTGGAACGGGAGAAAGCCTAATATATCATATTTCCATATTTTTGGGAGCAAGTGCTTTGTGTTAAACAATGGGAAGAATCATCTGAACACTTTTGATGGGAAATCAGATGAGGCCATCTTCCTAGGATATTCCATGGTGAGCAAGGCATTCAGAGTCTTCAACAAAAGAACCATGATCACTGAAGAGTCAATACATGTCATTTTTGATGAAAAACATGTGGTTGACAAGCCATCAAAGCATGATCATGAGGTACTGGATCTATCAGACAAGGATGAAGAAGTCAATGAAGGAGATAGAATGAAGGCCACAGAGTTCATTCCATTCAGAAGTCTGCCTCTGAAATCCGGATTTAGACAGTGCTGAGCCCTCCGGAAATTTTGGCCAGCCTTCCAATATTCCGGATCTCTCAAACGGCGACAATTCCGGAAATGGCGACCCAGTGCCAATCCATCCGGAAACACCAACAACTTCTGTTCTTCAACCAGAAGCTGAACTAAATCAACTAGTCAATCCCAATCAACACAATCTTCATTGGTTAAGGGATCATCCTCCTCAACAGATCATCGGAGATATTCAATCTGGTGTTCGCACAAGGAGTGCCCAACAGAATCTAGAAGCTATGCTTGCTTGTTTCATCTCACAAGTAGAACCAAAGAATATTGAAGAAGCTCTAGCTGATTCTGATTGGATCAATGCAATGCAAGAAGAACTCAACCAGTTTTCCAGAAATGATGTCTGGAAACTTGTTCCCAGACCTACTCATCAACATGTCATTGGGACAAAGTGGGTCTTCCGGAACAAGATGGATGAAAACGGCGTTGTTGTCAGAAACAAGGCCCG